CAATCACTGAAGGAAAAATATATATATTAGGGTCTTAAATAGAAGAAAGTGTAGTCATTAGCCTCCCCAAACATTAATGTTTTCTCTTTATCCCCCCTGACATCTTCGTCTAGTTCCACCACTGCTTACCCTTAATGTATATTGAAATCCTGAGATGAATTACACAAAAGTTATTGGATATACTTGTTTTCTTATATTTCATTTTTTTATTAATAATCGCAATCATGCTATCACTAAAATGACCTACCCGGTAGTGAAATTTCTATTTCCTTCTGGCAGAAACTAATTTGGACCATGCGGTCTGTTTTCATGTTTTAAGAAATTCCTTAATTTTTTATATGTGTAGAACCTGCCTTGCGCCGAGGAGATTCTGTGTACCTAGTTCGTCTAATTGATAGTTTACATGCTAAATCAAGGAAATCAATCGTAACCAATTGGCAAGCTGTTAATATTTGCTCAAGTGACTTTCCACGGTAGCATGCAATGAATATGGAGGTCATTAAGCTCGATACTGGTACGTTCTATAAACATTTCAACAAAACTGAGTTCTTGTGTCTCAATTTTTCATATTAACTATGTAGGGAAATGTTTATTACAGATTCTGATATCGAACTATCGGGTGTGTTGACCGACGAGCAAGGGAGAGTTCAAGCACTATGGGCAAGTATTTCCAGCCAGGTCAGCTTTCATTGGAGTGTTCACATTAGTCTGTTGTCCAAGTATTGATGCATTAGCCGCATGATGTCTCCAACATAAAGTAAATGGGCAATAGAAGAGAAACATATTCACCGCATAGACCTTAAATTGCTGAAATATGTTATGAGTACTTGCGCTAAAGAGGATGAATTGTTTTGTTTTTTACCTGTCATAGCGAGTCATAACCTCTACATCTGATGCTGTGATTCCAACGTACTAATTGAGGTATAACGCAATTAATTATTTTGTACAGCTCTTTGGTTGTGGCAAAGAAGGGGGCCATCAATTTGTTGTAGGTATACCAATATACCTGATAAGTCAAGTCCTTGAGAAGATAATCTCTGGTGCTCCTGGACCATCTCGTCTTATCAATGGAATTAGGAGACCAATGCCATTTGTCAGACTTCTGGAGGTGGAGATTTATCCAACTTTGCTCGCAGAGGCAAGTAGTTATGGATTGAGCGATAGATGGGTGCAGGTAATTAGATCTCTTTATCTTTTAGCCTTGTCTGAAATTGCTATCTAATCTGAAAAACATCATATGTAATACTGTCGCTTTTTTCTGTGGCTAGGTAATACTGTTGCTTAGTGGCTTCTGAGCCTGAATCTTGATGTGCTTATCAGCGCAACAATTTTTTAATGCAGTCAAATATTAATGACATTCATCTGAGACATTCAATAATAGTAGATAACTGCAGGGGTGTTTGTGAGGAGAACACCTCGCATGATTGCCATTTGGTCCCTTTTTGACTAGTTAATTTATCCCGTGTTGCATACATTAAATATTTACTGTTCTATATGAACAATGTTGCAGGCTCTAGCTAGGAAGGACCCTGAGCGAAGACAAGTATTGCAAGTTATAGGTTGCTTTGCTGGATCGAAAGCGGAAACTCTTCTTGAAGGGGATATGATTCTTGCTATCGATAAGAAGCCTATTACATGCTTCCTTGACATTGAGAATGCTTGCCAAAAGCTGGACCATTCGGTTGGTTCAGATGGAATGCTTAACATGACAATATTTCGCCAGGTGAGGACTCTCTATAAGGAAAAAAACTTTTTCTTTGACGAAGTACGATTGAATTAGGTATTTATCAGTAGTATAATTGCTTCAACATTCGAGCAGGGAAAAGAAATAGACCTTATCGTTGGAACAGATGTAAGAGACGGTAATGGTACAACACGTATGGTGAACTGGTGTGGATGCATAGTTCAGAATCCTCATTCGGCTGTACGTGCACTTGGTTTCTTGCCAAAGGAAGGCCATGGAGTTTACGTTTCTAGGTGTGTATCATATTCCTTCACTAATTTGTATGCTCAAATATTAGAAACTGTTGATACAATACAACAACCAAAACCTTAACTAGGGGATGTCCACAGGGACACAGTAATCAACTAAAGTCAACTGCAGTCAACATGGTCAACCCCTGGTCCAGCTTGGTCAAAGGAGGCCTAGGCGCCAAGCCTTGGTCCAAGGAAGTAAGGTAGCAAGCCATGGTCAAGGGAAGTCAAGAGAAATCAAGAGGAAACCTTAGATCAAAAAGTCAAAATGGTAGTCAAACAACAACAACCAAGGCTTTTGTCCTAAACAAGTTGATATGGGCAACATATAAAGTCCAATAGAAAACATGTGGAATCCAAAGAGTGAAGAGAGAAAAGAGAAGTAACGAAACTATAAAAAAGTAAAATTAATGTCCCGGCACATAGATTGTTGATTTCCATGCTGTCCTATCAAGAGCCATATATCTAAATGCAGTCTATTCCTTCAAGTCCCTTTTTACGACCTTCTCCCATGTCACCTTTGGTCGTCCCCTACCCATCTTATTATTTTTGCCACCCTTTATAATCCCACTATTAACTGCTGCTTTTGGAGGCCTTCGTCGGATATGCGGAAACCACCTTAGTCAGGGTTGGAGGACAAGCTTCTCTTTAACTGATGTCACCCCTACCCTATTACTTAACATCTTGTCCTTTCTTGTTTGGTCACACATCCAAGCGCATCTCCGTGACACTCATTTGTTGGATGTGTTGTCTTTTAGTGGGCCGATATTTTGCTCCATAAAGCATCACATGTCTGATTGTCGTCCTATATAGGACTCACCTTTTAGATTTTGTGGGACCTTGCGCAGTGGATGCCAGATGCTTCCTGCCACTTCAGCCACCCTCTTATTATCGTGTAGTTAACATCCTCGTCTATGCCACCATGTCTTTGCAAGAATTGATCCTAAATAATGGAAGGTTCTCAATCCCCTTGGTAGGCCCTATTTGTCCTTCTATACTAACCTCTCCCTCCTCGCACATGGCACAAATGAATTCGCATCTCATATACTTGGTCTTGGTCCTACTAAGTCTAAACACTTTGGATTCCAAAGTATGTCTCCAAAGCTCTAATTTCCTGTTGACAACGACCCTAGTTTCAAAAGGGTATTGCAAAGGAGAAAAGGATTGATGTCTCTCACATGAAGGCCCTTGGGAAAGAAGCACATCCATCCTTTTTTGTGGGAAAGAAGCCCATCCATCCTTGTGAGAATACAAACCATGTTCCACCATAGCCCATGGACTAAGACAAATGCAAGTGGCGCACCTAGTCCACATTATTCATATAGATCCTAGGACAAGAGGAAGGTCATTAACCACCTCCTAGCCACTATAAAATGAGGGGCATCCCCTCCTCTCAAATTGATCCTCTTCTCACTCCCTCATTCTTGAGGCTTGCATGAACCCTCTCCTCCCCCTTCAAGCTCCTATCCACCGAGAGTCAAATGGCGCGCCACCCCGTAGCATCATACCAAAGTTCTTCTCTCTTGTGGATATAGGGATCTTATTCATCTCTCATACATCTCATGCCCAACATGGAGCATTAGCCAATCTTTGCATTTCATACCTTGGTATTAACCCCTCTCGTGTCGCTCCCATGGGCGGCTCGAGAGGAACCCTAGCCGCCACCGACACCTTCCCTTCCCTTCCTCCTCCACCCACAGCCACCGTAGGGCGTCACGGGGATTTTCCTCATCTCGCCTGGGAGGCACGTTGCAGGGTGCTCCACTAGCGGCAGGGACTCACGAGCAACAAGGGGTGCACTGGCAGGGCTGGCGCAGTGCCGTGGAGCGAGTGGTGGCGAGGCGCGATGGCCTTGGAGAGCCATCGTCAATTGGTCTAGGGGAGCTCATCGCCCAGATCTATCTCCCCTTGGGCGGTAGCTCACTCAAGTGGTGGTCCTCATGGCCACGACGGAGGAGGGTGGAACGGGTCAATGGTGCTGGGTGGCATGATGTGGTGGCACAAGCATCGACTTGGCGCCTGTGAGTAGTGGTGCCTGGTCCGAGGTGCACCCTGGCTCCCAGATCTAGCTTCCTCTATGGTGGTGGCTCGCCCGGCCAACGGTTCTGCGGCCATGGCCAGGGGGTGGTGGTGGATGTTATTGGTGGGTTCCAATTGTGGTGATGGTAGGTTGTGGCTCGTGGTTGGGGCTTGGGTGCGGGTGGCACCCGAGATCGATTTGACTTCGTCTGTGTGGGTGCTCAAGGTAAGCATTTCTGTCATCGGAGCCTCTTGCTAGACCTAGCGGGGACACTCGCCGCAGACTGGCGGAGGTTGGGGAGGTCTCGCGCAGATGGAGCTCAGCTGCCAGCATCCACGAGATGACCGGGATGGGATGCTTCAGGCGAAAGCCTTGTGCCGACCTCATCAGCAACGATGACGGTGACATCTTCAGACGCCGCTTCCCTTTATGAAGGCTTCATTGTGGAGCTACCATTTCCCTCTCATTCATGTGCCTCCTTTCGACTGATCGAACAAAGCTAGCTCCCACTCTACTCGGTCAGCCTAGTGGTGCTCGGTGCTAAGTTCTTGGTGTTATCGTAGCTCGCTTATGGTTCTTCTTCTGTTTTTCCCTGTTCCTTCTTGTGTGTGGCTGTTGTAGCCGTTGTATTGTATGTCACTCTATTTTATGAAAATGAAAATGGTTCAGGCCGGCTTTTGCCCGCCATAGCAGCTTAAAAAAATCTCTCAGCCATATTTTGCTCTTAGATCTAAGATCTAGACAAGAACATGGTTAGCCCTTCAAGCTAGTATATCCCACTTGTATACCTAGGGTATAATCTCCCTTTAAGCTTGTCTTCTATGAGGAACACTTGAGATCTAGGGTAGTGGGTAAGTTGTTCCTTGCAAAGGAGATTCTCGAAACGGGCTTTCATCCCACTTTATAAATAAAGAAACCAACCAGTTCAACAATTTGTCATACCGACACACATAGTCTGTTAGGACCACAACACAAGCAAACCCAAAGAAAACAGAAGAGAAAGCATAAAAAAGATCACCAAGTGGTCAACACATCAAGAGAGGGGAAGAGAGGGGTATCACCAAGCTTGTTATCTTGGAGACATCTTCTATGGAGCATCTCTTTTCTTGTCCCATGCATTTGAGCGAGGCTCCCATGGTGGTGAGCAAGAGGGACTAGGACATAGGTACCTCACAGTGCCTAATCTAGTCAAGAAACATCCCCGTGTCCCCCTCTTTGTGTGTCTTGTGACGTGGCGGTTTTGACGGCTTGCTTCTCACGATGAGCAGCACGCAAGGCATCATCATCACATTTTGGGGGCCTATGGCAACGAAACTTTGGGCAAGTCCCCCAAGCCCTAAGATGGTCCTTATTATCCCTGCCGGGCAGGCACTCCCTATCTTGTGTTGGTCAAAAACCAGCAACAAAAATCACCGGCTTTTTTGACTTTTTCAGAAAGGAGGATGACCCCTGGCCTCTGCATCAGGGCGATGCGTACAATCATAATCATTTTATTAATTAGTCACGAAGACCTTACAAAGTAATACAACAGTAAGTCTGAAGCCACCAACTTGGTAACATATGTCGCTACACCTATCCCCATGATGAAGGGATGCAGATTGTCGGGGCCGCATACCCAGACCAAGCACCAAAGCCCAACATCTAAAGCCGGAGGCCCAACCCAGCTGAATTGCCGGGTCTGGGTCACACACTTGTCTGGCTCACTCCGGCGTGCACCGCATGCACATGCTGTAGAGGCCGTCACCACCGTCTTCCACCGATCCATCTTCAGAGTAGGTACTGACGCATCGACCATGCCAGGCATGCCGTCGATGCCACCACGAGCCAGACATCGCTTCTACCCTGCGTGAGTCTATGTATCCACGTCCAATGCCAGGACTCCGCTGCACCATGCCACCAAGACTCGTCATCGTGGACGAGGTAGATGAACACCGCTCCACCACTTATCTGCTCCATCCAGCAGCTGCTCCAAAAATGATGCCCCCATGAGGGAGAGTGATGCCTAAAGCGCCACCATTGTCCAATCCGGGAAACCTGAGTCTAGGATCTCACCTGGAGGAGCACAAGTTAGTCGACGGTAGCTGCAGTGGCGATGTCTTCAACAAGAGAACGACGCAAAAAAGCCGCCATCGCCCGCCATGACCAGAGCCATAGCACGGTTTTCACTGGCAGCATCGCCTCCCCACTCGTCGCCGGGACTGGATGTGTGATGCCACAACCAGCCAGTCAACCACACCTCCGGCGGAGGAGGTGGCCACCACCACTGCGCCCAGGGCCAGAGCCCCTGACATCCTCATATGGAGGGTCTAGCCCAGAAGCCGCTTGTCGTCGATGGATCAAAGGAAATGCTGGACAGCAGCAGGTCGCGGCCCATTGAAGCCCATCTAGCCCCAAATCGGGCACCCTAGCTGCCGCCGGAAATCTCGTCGTTCACCACTGCCTGCATGTCAACCTTTGATCCAGCTGGAGCGAATCGGCGCCACCCTGACCCGAACACTAGCCGATGAGAAACGCCGATGTGGCACACATGCTTTGCATGTGACGCCCCTGGCGCAGCGGCAGGAGGGGGATCTTGCGCTGGGGATGGCTGGAGGCAGCCGGCGAGGGTGTCCCGGTGCAGCACGGCGCCACCGTACTGGGTGGGGGGAGGGGAGGGGAGATGATCAAGAGTGGTAAGAAAAATCATGAGTTAACTTTAATTTTTTAACTGAAACACTATTTACAGTCTAATAGAGGTTTAGATTTGTCAGATTTGAATGGTCAGTGAGAATTCGCTAAAGCGATAATGTTGCTTTTAGTTGATCTGATATGCTAATTCTGTTTACAAGTTGTGTGCACTGGCTGCCGTGAAGCAGCAATGAATTCAAGAGTGCAGCATGTAAGAGCTAGAATTTTGGTAGGAAAATATGTAAACAAAGTAATAAGTATCCTGGAGAAGGAGAGAGAAAGAAATGTGGCCATTTGACACCATTTTCTACATGGTGCGTACTCACACAGTTTAATAAAAAACAATTTAATGAAGAAGGCAAGTTTGTGTGTGCATTGGATTCGCGGCCCTAAAGTACATTTTAAATAGCCCTTTTAAATACCAGTTTTGAATGGGGAATGAGCAGCAAGGTCTTTATGCAGAGGTTATGCTGGAAGTCCCATCCATAGATATGGTCTCTACCCTCTCCAGTGGATAGTTGAGGTTAACGGGCAACCAACTCCAGATCTGGAATCCTTCATAGAGACGGTGAAGGTATGCATTGCCAATAGTGAACAGTGTTCTTCTTTTGTCATGTTCCAATATCTCGTTTTTAAACTATATAGCGAAGTGCACATGCCATTTGTCTGAATTGACCTTTTTATCAGGGATTGGAAGACGGTGAATTTTGTAGGGTGAGGACCGTGAAGTTGAATGGAATATCTTGCGTCCTTGCTCTCAAACAGGACCTTCACTACTGGCCAACCTGGGAGCTCAACTTTGAGCCGGAGACTGCAACATGGCAGAGGAGGACAATAAAAACATTGCAACGTGTGATCCATTCTATTGGTAACTAGACGAACTAGATTATCTGTTGCGCCAAATGGCGTAAGGTCCCATTTCAAATCAAGACTTATTTGAAAATAAGTGCTTGCCAGTTTTGGCAACCCTTTTAATAATGAAAATTTAAGGAAACATTACCTCAAACTATGTATTAGAGTTTGTAAAGATTTGGACCTTTTTTTGATAAAGGGTGGATTTTATTAGCTCAATATGGAGCATCAAGGGGGTACAAACACAAAGAGCACACGTCCGGTCTCTCCATAGCTAGGATGCACACAGCCAACACAGACGCATGCACACAAAAATCACACCAACAACTAGCAAAGTCATATAAGACCGAAGCTATGCCAAGGCGGATAGAAAACAAAAAGAAAGTGAAAAAAAGAGCAACGATAATCCACGCCGAGGACCACAAGTGAAAAAAAGCTGGTAGTTGAGGACTTGGTTCTCAATGTTATCAGCTCGTATGCCCCGCAAGTAGGCCACAATGAAAACACCAAGAGGGAGTTCTGGGAAGGCCTGGAAGACATGGTTAGGAGTGTACCGATTGGTGAGAAGCTCTTCATAGGATGAGACCTCAATGGCCACGTGGGTACATCTAACACAGGCTTTGAAGGGGCGGGTTGGGGCTTTGGCCATGGCATCAGGAATCAAGAAGGAGAAGATGTCTTAAGCTTTGCTCTAGTCTACAACATGATTGTAGCTAACACCCTCTTTAGAAAGAGAGAATCACATCTGGTGACTTTTAGTAGTGGCCAACACTCTAGCCAGATTGATTTCATCCTCTCGAGAAGAGAAGATAGGCGTGCGTGCCTAGACTGTAAGGTGATACCTGGAGAGAGTGTTGTACCCCAGCATAAGCTGGTGGTTGCTGACTTCCGCTTTCGAATTCGTGTCCAGCGGGATAAGCGTGCCAAAGTCGCTAGAACGAAGTGGTGGAAGCTCAAGGGGGAGGTAGCTCAGGTGTTCAAGGAAAGGGTCATTAAGGAGGGCCCTTGGGAGGAAGGAGGGGATGCAAACAATGTGTGGATGAAGATGGCGACTTGCATTCGTAAGGTGGCCTCGGAGGAGTTTGGAGTGTCCAGGGGAAGGAGAAGCGAAGATAAGGATACCTGGTGGTGGAATGATGACGTCCAGAAGGCGATTAAAGAGAAGAAAGATTGCTTCAGACGCCTATACCTGGATAGGAGTGCAGACAACATAGAGAAGTACAAGATGGCGAAGAAGGCCGCAAAGCGAGCTGTTGGTGAAGCAAGGGGTCGGGCATATGAGGACCTCTACCAACGGTTAGGCACGAAGGAAGGTGAAAGGGACATCTATAAGATGGCCAAGATCCGAGAGAGGAAGACGAGGGACATTGGCCAAGTCAAATGCATCAAGGACGGAGCAGGCCAACTCTTGGTGAAGGACGAGGAGATTAAGCATAGATGGCGGGAGTACTTCGACAAGCTGTTCAATGGGGAGAATGAGAGTTCTACCATTGAACTAGACGACTCCTTTGATGAGACCAGCATGCGTTTTGTGCGGCGAATCCAGGAGTCTGAGGTGAAGGAGGCTTTAAAAAGGATGAAAGGAGGCAAGGCGATGGGCCCTGATTGTATCCCCATTGAGGTGTGGAAAGGTCTCGGGGACATAGCAATAGTATGGCTAACCAAGCTTTTCAACCTCATTTTTCGGGCAAACAAGATGTCAGAAGAATGGAGATGGAGTATATTAGTACCAATCTTCAAGAACAAGGGGGATGTTCAGAGTTGTACTAATTACCTTGGAATTAAGCTGATGAGCCATACAATGAAGCTATGGAAGAGTCATTGAGCACCGCTTAAGAAGAATGACAAGCGTGACCAAAAATCAGTTTGGTTTCATGCCTGGGAGGTCGACCATGGAAGCCATTTTCTTGGTACGACAACTTATGGAGAGATATAGGGAGCAAAAGAAGGACTTGCATATGGTGTTCATTGACTTGGAGAAGGCCTATGATAAGATACCGCGGAATGTCATGTGGTGGGCCTTGGAGAAACACAAAGTTCCAGCAAAGTACATTATCCTCATCAAGGACATGTACGATAATGTTGTGACAAGTGTTCGAACAAGTGATGTCGACACCGATGACTTCCCGATTAAGATAGGACTGCATCAGGGGTCAGCTTTGAGCCCTTATCTTTTTGCATTGGTGGTGGATGAGGTCACAAGGGATATACAAGGAGATATCCCATGGTGTATGCTCTTTGCGGATGATGTGGTGCTAGTTGACGATAGTCGGACGGGGGTAAATAGGAAGTTAGAGTTATGGAGACAAACCTTGGAATTGAAAGGGTTTAGGCTTAGTAGAACTAAAACCGAGTACATGATGTGCGGTTTCAGTACTACTAGGGGTGAGGAGGAGGAGGTTAGCCTTGATGGCCAGGTGGTACCTCGGAAGGACACCTTTCGGTATTTGGGGTCAATGTTGCAGGAGGATGGGGGTATTGATGAAGATGTGAACCATCGAATCAAAGCCGGATGGATGAAGTGGCGCCAAGCTTCTGGCATTCTCTGTGACAAGAGAGTGCCACAAAAGCTAAAAGGCAAATTCTACAGGACGGCGGTTCGACCCGCAATGTTGTATGGCGCGGAGTGTTGGCCGACTAAAAGACGACATGTTCAACAGTTAGGTGTGGCGGAGATGCGTATGTTGAGATGGATGTGTGGCCACACGAGGAAGGATCGAGTCCGGAATGATGATATACGAGATAGAGTTGGGGTAGCACCAATTGAGGAGAAGCTTGTCCAACATCGTCTGAGATGGTTTGGGCATATTCAGCGCAGGCCTCCAGAAACTCCAGTGCATAGCGGACGGCTAAAGCGTGCGGAGAATGTCAAGAGAGGGCGGGGTAGACCGAATTTGACATGGGAGGAGTCCGTTAAGAGAGACCTGGAGGATTGGAGTATCACCAAAGAGCTAGCTATGGACAGGGGTGCGTGGAAGCTTGCTATCCATGTGCCAGAGCCATGAGTTGGTTGTGAGATCTTATGGGTTTCACCTCTAGCCTACCCCAACTTGTTTGGGACTAAAGGCTTTGTTGTTGTTGTTGTTGTTGTTGTTGTTGTTGTTGTTGATAATCCACGCCGAGCAGAAGTTTAGCCAGAAGAAGATGGTGCAAGCACACGTGATCCGGACATGGACACGGCCGACCATGCAGACTAAACACGCACACTATGCAAGCGGCCTGCCAAAGACCATCCACGGTACTAAAACCTCCGTTGAAATTGGAGTGACATCAATCGCAGCTCAAATGGCGCAATTCAAATGGCCAGAAGAGATGGTACCGCCAAAATCTCATAGAGACGCTTTGGCGATCCAATGCCTCCGGTGCAAGTCTTTGTCAATGGTAAATCTTGGCATGACCACTAGCCCCAGACAATACACCACGAGCCTACACTGCGCCGCCATGGCTGCAACAAGTCGCCAATATCCTAGAACATGACCCGGCCATCTGCACTGCCAATCACATCCCTGGATACCACTATGCACCATGTTCGCAAGGCCACAACATAGCAACGGATCATCCCTGTCCGACGGCACACAAGCAACCGGTGAACCGCCAGCAACCACTAATCTCTAGCTAGGCCCAACTCCAAGATGATACCCCCAACGGAGAACACAACCCCAAGTGTCGCCATCATACGATCCGGGCAAACCCGGACCTAGGGTTTCCCCTCAAATATTCTGGGAGGGGAGCCGAAGACTACATGTCGACGCCTTCATCAAGGTAGTGACGCCCATAGGCACCATCGTCGTTGGCTCCGACCGCATTCAAAGTTTGGCTTTCACCAGCAGTCTCCGTCTCCTCCAGAAAAATGAGCCTAGCTTCACCACCATGTCCACCTTCATCACCGTAGAACCATCACGGCCAAAGGATTGAATACTTCTGGTAGCACAGTTCCCAGGCAAACCCGATGATATATGTGTTAGAACCTGGACCGCGTCGCCCGAAGAAGACGCCACACAAGACCACCGGAGCGTCGCCGCCATGTGCACGCCATCTAGCCACCACCAAGCATCTGGGCCTCCTAATGTCGACGACACCATGCCGCCTGCCGGCGAGCGCCGCAGCCCCGCCATCACGGATCCAGCCAAGGCATCCCGTGGGCAGCCGCCGCACGGATCAGCTGAGCCATCCCGTGGGTAGTTCCCATGCTTTCCAAGATCCCCAGTTGAGTTGTGTGTGTCATGTCCCTCAACATACCACTAACCTAGCATCTCGTGTGTATCATGTTTAATATGTCATCACTACATGTGCTAGAAGATCTCCATCCTCTCATCCATTCCTCTTCTAAGAAAAAGGGTGCCAGCGACATCCATCAAATTGCACACGCGGGGGTCCAATACTCCAATTCCTCATGGTCGTTCATACTTCTTTCTTTCTCCGCAGGGGCGAAGCCAGGATTTGGGTATGGAGGGGCCAAGCAAAGTAGAAACAAAAATCCTGTGAACTTGCATATCAGCCTCCTGAACAATTTTAGTATGTTGAGAATTCAAAGCAACCAGCTTAGAAAATAATTGATCATAAAGGTGTTTGGCAGCGTTTTTTTCTCTTTATAGTTGAGGAATTTCAATTTCAGAAGGAACCGGCTTAGAAACTAAATTAATTTTAATGGTGTTTGGAAGGGCCTTTTCTCTTCATAATTTAGGAATTTCACTTTCATAATTAGTGCTGCCGACAAAGGAAAATTTGGCATCACAAATAGAAACTGGGAACTGGTACAAGATAATCTGGATCATGGTAATTTCTGAGAGATGTGCAAAATATGAATTCTTGATGGCATCTCAAATCTCGAAGAAAAACAACTAAAATCTAATGTATAATTTCAACACTGATACGAGACGTGAATTGAGAGAGGTTGGTAGTGTGATGTGTTAACCTGCTAATTCGTCGGCAGAAATGGTAAAGTAGGTTGCGTTGCCGAGTCGCCGTATGAATCAGATTGTGAGCGGTAGGGCAAGGAGATCAGAGGCAGGCGGCGGCAAGGG